TCTCTCTCTCTCTCTCTCTCTCTCTATATATCTATATATATATATATATATATATATACAGTTGGGCTTAGTGCTATGGACCATAAAGGGTTTACTGCGATTACAGATTATATTCCAGAAGATCATAAAAGCATGAAGCAACAAAGCCAGAAATAACCATATAAAATACAACTGTTTAAAGCAGAGGTCACAATAACATTTTTGCAAGTACAATGTTCTGGTTGAGGTGAAAAGCCAAAATGACCTTACTTCTGGGCCTCAAAACCACCTTATCCTTTTAAAATCAGAAAAAAGTTATTTTCAACGCAGCCAGTTTGGACAAAAACCTCACAGAGCCGATGGCAACAAGGAAGGCAACCTTGTGCATAAGAGCAGAAAAGAGAATATTCCTGAATGGTTCATAAAAGCGATTTTTGGAGAGCTAAAAGAACCAGATTTAGGACCCACGGAGTCACCAGTAGTTATACAGTTGGAGCAGCATGACACACACACACTGTTCAAAAGTCTTAACCAAGAAATGGGTGGCAAGCAATCTTTAGAACAGTGGTTCTCAACCTGTGTAACCTCAGGACCCACATTTGTCCTTGGTCATTAAGTCGCGACCCAAGTCGCTCTGCAATGGAACGCACAGGGTTGCGGTACTGCATGTTCCAAAGCAGGCGATCGAACTGTGGGTAGGAGGTGTGTTTTGGATGCCATTCAAAAGATCCACCCAGTCTCTATACCTTACGAGAGCTGAGTTGATCCTCAGCTTGGGGGGTCCAGTGTGGGCTGCTGTGCTATGATTGAGCTCCATCCATTTTTAGATTGTAAGCCCCCAGGGGCAGGGCCCTCCTTCCCATCTTGTCTTGAATTGTTTTGTGATTGTAATGTCTTCCTTATATTGTAAAGCGCTGCGCAAACTGTTGGCGCTATATAAATCCTGTATAATAATATGTGCAATGCCTGTACAGCTCCCTTGCGTGCCCTGTAGAGGTGCCTGGAGCCAGAATGTGACATCAGTCCCGTCCAAGCACCTCTAAAGGACACGCAAGGGAGTTGTACGTATGGATGGAGCTCCCTCAGGCCATAGCCCCAGCCCATCCCACCTCAAGCAGACACTCGGCACAGGGCAGCATATTTTGAATGGCTCCTTGGCAAGAGAACTCACAGGAGGAGCCTATCACCTAGCACAGTGGAAGGCACACGGCGACCCACTGAACGCAGTGTTGCGACCCACTTTTGGGTCAAGACCCACCAGTTGAGAACCAAGGCTTTAGAACAAGATGCCAAAGATTTGCCCAATCATGGTAGGCAGGGCCAAATGTTGATCCAAGCCAGACTGCAGAAAGGTCAGCATTTTTCCCATTGAGTATTCCCTGGTATGAACATTTCTTGCTTCGCACCAAAGTATGCCTTCCATGCTTGATGGTAGACCTTGTGGGAGGTAGACTTCCTTGCTTTTAGGAGCATGGACATATGCAAAATAGAAAGGCTCCTATTTCTTAGAACAAGGGCTTGAACAGTCATGCCATCAAGGTCAGTGACAGAAGCAGGGTGGAAAAAGATAACAATGCCACACATCTGTCTGGGAAAATTCAGTACGAGAATCACAAGAATGCCCGCTACCCTTATCCTGTGGACCAGATGAGGAAGGAGTTTCAGGAAGGAAAGATGTAGGATCAGGTTGTACTGATCCCATGGAACCGCCAGAGTATCAATTGCTACTGCCAGGGGATCCACCCCTGAAATCTGCACTGAAATCAAGGTTGGAATGTGAAGTTCTGCTCAAGACAGAATTTCTTGTCACAGGCTAACCAAGTTATGACATCATAGCATATATAGGTGGCATCATGGCGAGTGAGATTCAACACCCAGTTGCTGCATATATGCGTTGCTGTATTGTTTTGGAACATGCTCAATCTGCACCCCCAGAACTGTGATCAAGCTGTCACCAACAGCTCACTGTCAATTAGGCACAGTCGGGAGCTGGTAAGTCAGGCTCCCGATTACATCATTGCTCTGCAGCCAATGACCATGAACCACTTCTACCAGCCCCCTGCATTACGGCCAAACATAATGGGAGGTTGTCCACAGGCAGCACAGGGTTAATTTGCTTAAAAACATTCAAGTCACTTTTCCCATTTAGGGCAAAGTGACAGTCTCTTACTAGCTCACCCCATGTGCAATTACTACCCACCTTTCCTATGCTCTCATGCTGCTCTTTGCAAGTGTTGCAAATACCCGACACTTCCGCATGTATCCTCCTCCCAGCATGTAGTGCTCAAGTCTGGGTGGCCAACCACTACGTCAAAACAAATGGTCATCTGACAAGTAAGCTCTGACACTTTCCGACAAAGAGCTGATACAGAATTTGACTCCAGCAGCAATGGAGTGGTGGGGGAGCATCAGGAAGGCGAGTATAGGTGGCTATGGCCTTGGGGTAGTAAGAGACCATGTCACTTTGCTCTAAAAGTGACAGAGTCTCTGTAAAACTGTAATGCAGGAGATTATACTTAACTAAGATCTACAAGGTTGTGCACTATTTCTTACAACCAGCCCCCCGACAGCATTACCAGAGCCCCCTAATGTTTCTATGCAAATAGCCACTATTCAAAAGTCTGCATTTATAGAGGCTTAAGTAGCATATCCCCATCACAAAGGTGTTAAGAAAGGTTGCACAGGCACTGAGCAAAGCATTTTATAATGAGGTGCATCACTTCTCATTTGTGGGAAGTTGCATTTTGTTTGGAGGTTCCAGCAGTATTTAAAGTTACACCGGGGATACTGCAAGCTACTGGCCATAGTTACTGGTTAATCATGATGAGATGGCATCACTCTAAGGCTACCCATACACCTTGCGATCATCGGAAGAAACTTTTCGTCCGATGATCGGACCGTGGTACGATCTTTGTACGGCGGCCCCATCCTGCCCCGATTATCGCAAGGTTGGATCAGCGGTAATTAGAAGAAAGCACCTAGACGAATTGCGGTAATCGACTGCGCGTATTTTCGTCTGCGCATGTGCAGTGCAGATCGTACAAATTTTGACGTACGGAAACGCCACCAACCTTGCGAAGATCGTACGAGCGACCGACGTTTTCTAACCTGCTGGATAGTCAACAGTTGATGGATTGTACAGTATTTGCGGTTGTACACTGCTCATCAACCTTACCAATATCGGACGAAAACCCGATCGCATACGAAAATCGGCCGATATTCGTAAGGTGTATAGGCACCTTAAGTGAGAGAACGGACTGGGAGCATAAGCAGAACCATCAGGTTCTGTCCAAGTGGAAACCTGCATTCCCAGTTCATCTTTATTCACAAGAAAAAAAAAAAAAGGGGGGCAATTGCACAGGAAGGGAATTAAAAAAGGCAACTTCACTAAAGCGAATTAGTACTTTAAAATCCATAAACCACCCAAACCAACATCAATATATGAAGTAATAAAAAGAAAATTGTGCAAGATAAACAATAATTTTTTTAACATATTAAAACATTAAAGGAACTCCAGGAATCATAAAAATTAACCCCTGCAGTGGGGCTACCCAGCACTGCAAAGGGTTAACTGCTCATTTTTGTATGGGAACTACAATAAAGATAAACTCACCTGATCCTCAGTCCTGCCTGGCTGCTAGACCAGTCCCCATAGCCTCTTGTCCCGATATCGTAATTAGACGTTAGAATGCCACGGGACATTCCACCGCTGGAGCGGAGGGGGAGAAAGGGTGAGCGGTGTCAGGCACAGGACAGAGGATCGGGTGAATATATCTTTTTTTATTCTGGCTCCTAGAGAAAAATGGGCAGTTATCCCTTGGTGTGGAGGTAGCCCCAATGCAAGGGTTATTTTTTTTACAATTATTGGAGTTCTTCTTTAACCTCTTGCCGTCCGCCCGTAGTAAAAAAACGGACGGACGGCACTGCTCCATTGGCGGGTTGCCGTCGCCAGACGGCATTTTTTTTCTGCTCGCGCGCGCCCCCTAGCGGGCACGCATGGGCAGAAAAGACCCCGACCATTGCACACACCCGTTACCGGGTGTTTCACATAAGGCGATCAGCGGCTCCATATCATCGTCTATATGTGCTCGTTCAGGAATGTATGTAAAGTGACACCAAATTCAAGTACCTCAACAAGTACCTAAATTCCTCATTCACACTCAAGCAACCGGCAATCTCATTAATAATATATGTCATCAATTTTTTTATTTTTTTTTGCCGTTTGCTTGATAGACATGTGCACACTAGAAAAATGTCATTTGCAACTAAATTTACTTAGCTGCTAACGCAATTCTCTGTTTAAATCTTGCTGCCGGCCGACAGCTGGATTGCGCAGCCAGCAGCTGAATGTAAACAATGGGGAGCAATAGCCAACCTGCTATTGGGTATTTCATAGCGGGCTGGTTATTGCCACTGCCCACTGAGCAGCAGAGTGTTCCCCATGATCCCTGTGCGTGTTGTATAGAAGCCACCGCTCCAAGCTCGCTACCATGATGGACTACAATCTCACATTTAGTTTTCTAATTGAGACTGTAGTCTGGAAGCAATCTTGGAGCAGTGGCTAATTTACAACACACACACACACACACACACACACACACACACACACACACAGAGACCATGGGGAACATAAGTAGCCACCCTCCAGAAGGAAGGACAGTGTGACCATCAATTCAGAGATGATTTGAGGATCTACAGCTGAGTGATACACAACTAATGCACACAGGGGGGAATTTGTCAAAACTGGAGCAGATTTGCATAGCAACTAGAGATGTTCAGATACCATTACTGATAGTTGGCATTTTCACGAGAACTACCAGGGTTGCAGCTGGGACTTAGCTCTGGCACTCCACCAGTCCTGAAATCATTAGTTTGAATTGTTTTAGAAAAACTGTCACATGACAACAAAAAATGCATCAGTAATTGTATCCATGACTACTCAAGTACTTGGTCTGAAAAGAAAAAAAAAAATCTATATCTATATCTATATCTATATACATACATACATACATACATACATACATACACACAAATCCCAGTAGCCAATGCTCTTTAACCTCTTGCCGTCCGCCCGTAGTAAAAAAACGGACGGACGGCACTGCAGCATCTGCGGGTTGCCGTCTCCAGACGGCAATTTTTTTCTGCTCGCGCGCGCCCCCTAGCGGGCACGCACGGGCAGAAAAGACCCGACTGGCTCCTAGAGAAAAATGGGCAGTTATCCCTTGGTGTGGAGGTAGCCCCAATGCAAGGGTTATTTTTTTTACAATTATTGGAGTTCTTCTTTAACCTCTTGCCGTCCGCCCGTAGTAAAAAAACGGACGGACGGCACTGCTCCATTGGCGGGTTGCCGTCGCCAGACGGCATTTTTTTTCTGCTCGCGCGCGCCCCCTAGCGGGCACGCATGGGCAGAAAAGACCCCGACCATTGCACACACCCGTTACCGGGTGTTTCACATAAGGCGATCAGCGGCTCCATATCATCGTCTATATGTGCTCGTTCAGGAATGTATGTAAAGTGACACCAAATTCAAGTACCTCAACAAGTACCTAAATTCCTCATTCACACTCAAGCAACCGGCAATCTCATTAATAATATATGTCATCAATTTTTTTATTTTTTTTTGCCGTTTGCTTGATAGACATGTGCACACTAGAAAAATGTCATTTGCAACTAAATTTACTTAGCTGCTAACGCAATTCTCTGTTTAAATCTTGCTGCCGGCCGACAGCTGGATTGCGCAGCCAGCAGCTGAATGTAAACAATGGGGAGCAATAGCCAACCTGCTATTGGGTATTTCATAGCGGGCTGGTTATTGCCACTGCCCACTGAGCAGCAGAGTGTTCCCCATGATCCCTGTGCGTGTTGTATAGAAGCCACCGCTCCAAGCTCGCTACCATGATGGACTACAATCTCACATTTAGTTTTCTAATTGAGACTGTAGTCTGGAAGCAATCTTGGAGCAGTGGCTCATTTACAACACACACACACACACACACACACACACACACACACACAGAGACCATGGGGAACATAAGTAGCCACCCTCCAGAAGGAAGGACAGTGTGACCATCAATTCAGAGATGATTTGAGGATCTACAGCTGAGTGATACACAACTAATGCACACAGGGGGGAATTTGTCAAAACTGGAGCAGATTTGCATAGCAACTAGAGATGTTCAGATACCATTACTGATAGTTGGCATTTTCACGAGAACTACCAGGGTTGCAGCTGGGACTTAGCTCTGGCACTCCACCAGTCCTGAAATCATTAGTTTGAATTGTTTTAGAAAAACTGTCACATGACAACAAAAAATGCATCAGTAATTGTATCCATGACTACTCAAGTACTTGGTCTGAAAAGAAAAAAAAAAATCTATATCTATATCTATATCTATATACATACATACATACATACATACATACATACACACAAATCCCAGTAGCCAATGCTCTTTAACCTCTTGCCGTCCGCCCGTAGTAAAAAAACGGACGGACGGCACTGCAGCATCTGCGGGTTGCCGTCTCCAGACGGCAATTTTTTTCTGCTCGCGCGCGCCCCCTAGCGGGCACGCACGGGCAGAAAAGACCCG